TTATGAAGTGCATTCTTATCGACTAAAAGTCTTTTCGATAAACCTTGAAACTCAAAATCACACGGCGGAAAAATAAAAAAAAAATTAAAAAAACAGAAGAAAATCAATAGGTCTTTCCAAGAAAGTTGAAAAGACCTAATAATAAGAAACAGAAGAAAATCAATAGGTCTTTCCACAGAAAGGTGGAAAGACCTAATTATAACTGATTATTTTAGTACTAATCTCAAATCTAAACCAAGTAATTTGATGTACGGTAATTATTTACTTCAAATCTTAAAAGCAATTAACTAGAATACAAATTTTTTTGTGTACATCTATACGTTCTTTAACACACACACGGAGAAAGGCCATCCCCTGTTCAGATTGACATTTAGGCATTTACTTTTTTTTAGGCGGAGAGGGGGGTGCAAAAATAATTGACATGACCGTTATTTTTAAATATTCTTGGAAGACAGACATTTCTGCCGAATTCAATTTTGAGATTTTTTTTTAAATGAGTCACTCCAACCACAAAGTATGTGCCTTTTGAGGAATGTAACTGTTTTATAATTACAATGTATGTTGTTACAGGAAGTCTTTCGAGATTTCAGTATCCCTGCCTGATAGTCTAGCTATTTTTTTTATATAAAAATAATTTCTGTAGGAGTATTTGGGAGATAATTTTAAAAGCTAGAGTAGGGGTACTTGGCACTGGTTGAAAACGGATAATTTTTATTTACTCTTTTGTATATTGAACTCGAACTCTCTCACTCTGTAACCATCCGTTAGGGCAATAATATGTATAAAATCCTACGCACTTTGTGCTGTACCATTTATTAAGCCTTGGGACGGATCAAGGATTTTTTTTTCAGGCGGGATGTCGAAACTTCATAAATTGAATAATAATTTTATTTTGAACAAAAAATTAACCCAAACGCCCAAATTGAAAGAGAAACTAGAGGTATTGTGAGCAATGAGCTTACTAAATGATACCCCAGCCTCCCATATGGTTGTAATGGCAAAGTCCATATTTTGCTGTTGTCGCTAAACCCAAAATACGTGTCGGATCAAAAAGTAAAATAGGAGGTGCACAATGGTAATATGTAATAAACTTAAAATTCTGTGAAAGTTTCATTAAATTTCACCAAGTGGTATAGGAGGATTTGCGGATAAGAGATGGGTACCCCAAACCGTAACAGACAGACGGACGGACATAACGATTACTCTATACCCTCTCACTTTTCAAGCAGGGGATATGATAAACGTGAAAAATACATCACAGGAATGGGAACATTGGGAACTTTCTCAAATACCTAATATGTCTCTGGTCTAATAAAGCCAATACACAGTATTTATTTGATAATAATTGATCATAAAGAAATCCAATCTGTTTCAGACGTTTTTAGCTCACCTGAGCCGAAGGCTCAAGTGAGCTTTTCTGATCACATTTTGTCCGTCGTCCGTCCGTCTGTCTAGCTGTCTGTCCGTCCGTCTGTCTGTCTGTCCGTCTGTAAACTTTTCACATTTTCGACTTCTTCTCAAGAACCACTGGGCCAATTTTGACCAAACTTGGTACAAAGCATCCTTGGGAAAAGGGAAATTTAAATTGTTAAAATGAAGGGACATATCCCCTCGCAAGGGGAGATAATCAAGAAAAGGCAAAAATAGGGTTGGGTCATTAAAAAATCTTCTTCTCAAGAACCACTGGGCCAGTAAAGCTGAAACTTATGTGGAAGCATCCTGGGGTAGTGTAGATTCTAAATTGTTCAAATCATGACCCCCGGGGGAAGGGTGGGGCCACAATGGGGAATCAAAGTTTTATATAGAAATATATAGGAAAAATCTTTGAAAATCTTCTTCTCAAGAACCACTGGGCCAGAAAAGCTGAAACTTATGTGGAAGCATCCTGGTATAATGTAGATTCTAAATTGTTCTTATCATGAGCCCCGGGAGAAGGGCGGGGCCACAATGGGGTATCAAAGTTTTACATAGAAATATATAGGAAAAATCTTTGAAAATCTTCTTCTCAAGAACCACTGGGCCAGAAAAGCTGAAACTTATGTGGAAGCATCCTGGGGTAGTGTAGATTCTAAATTGTTCAAATCATGACCCCCCGGGGGAAGGGTGGGGCCACAATGGGGAATCAAAATTTTATATAGAAATGTATAGGAAAAATCTTTAAAAATCTTCTTCTCAAGAACCACTGGGCCAATTTTGACCAAACTTGGTACAAAGCATCCTTGAATAAAGGTGAATTTAAATTGCTAAAATGAAGGGACATATCCCCTCGCAAGGGGAGATAATCAAGAAAAGACAAAAATAGGGTTGGGTCATTAAAAAATCTTCTTCTCAAGAACTACTGGGCCAGTAAAGCTGAAACTTATGTGGAAGCATCCTGGGGTAGTGTAGATTCTAAATTGTTCAAATCATGAACCCCGGGGGAAGGGCGGGGCCACAATGGGGAATCAAAGTTTTACATAGAAATATATAGGAAAAATCTTTGAAAAGCTTTTTCTCAAGAGCCACTGGGCCAGAAAAGCTGAAACTTATGTGGAAGCATCCTGGTAAAATGTAGATTCTAAATTATTGAAATCATGACCCCCGGGGGAAGGGCGGGGCCACAATGGGGAATCAAAGTTTTATATAGAAATATATAGGAAAAATCTTTGAAAATCTTCTCAAGAACCACTGGGCCAGAAAAGCTGAAACTTATGTGGAAGCATCCTGGTATAGTGTAGATTCTAGATTGCTCAAATCATGACCCCCTGGGGAAGTGTGGGGCCACAATGGGGAATCAAAGTTTTACATAGAAATATGTAGGAAAAATCTTTGAAAATCTTCTTCTCAAGAGTCACTGGGCCAGAAAAGCTGAAACTTATGTGCACATGGAAGTTTCATGGGGTAGTGTAGATTTCAAAATGTCTAAATTATGATCAGTGGGGTAGGGTGGGGATGCATTATGTATTACAAGGGGGAAATCTGGTAAAGAACAGAATGGTCAAAGCTTCTCAGGTGAGCGATGTGGCCCAAGGGCCTCTTGTTCTTAAATTATTTTAAGAGAGTGTTATGCATGTTTTATTACACCCCCCCACTTCCTGTCACAGGAAAATATCTTCAAAAGGTGAATGATTCGTAATAATGCATGCTTTATTATAAATTTGCTGAAGTTAAACCATGTAATCATAAATTTTACTTACAACATTTACAAACAAGAGTAATGTTTATTTTTGAAAAAATTACTTGCATTTTTTTCAATCAACCCCACTGAGCTTTCAACCTTTGATATTTTCCATGACAAAATAAAATGATCGGCATGGGCCACGTGTGTCCAAGCATCTTTTACTGTTGAGTTAGCAATGGATTACATGACTTCTGAGAAGCATTTTTCAATAAAAGTAAAATAGGATAATTCTTTCGACATGTGCACATCCCTGTAATGATAGCAATATTCAGGTAAATGATTTTATCACTGCGTTTGACGCGTTTTCTCGACCTGTATGGATTTTTGCTGTACATGAATGTGTTCCATGTTAGTGTATTTTCAATATTGCAGCAAATGCATTCAAAAATAATTTAATTCTCGGTATAGTTCTATTTTATTTGTTGAATTTTTACTTTTCAAACATGTATTTGGTCAGTTTATGGACTTCTTAAACCTATGCTATCGGAGATGTGTACATGTCGACAGCCAAGCTAGAAAATCACTCAAGTGAAACAATTGTACAAGGCTATATATAGCAGGTACAGGTGACCAAAAATTTTCAATTAAATATGGCGGAATCGAAGAAATATGGCGGACAAAGGCGTACAGGAATGTAGTAAGTCGTACAAAGATGAAAAATGATGGTCTTTTAAGAGTTCATGTCAGCTTTAACTTTGATTTCGGGTTAAGAGTTGTTGTGCTGGGTTTGACAGGTCAAGATCGCTACCTTTTATTGAAGGCAATTTTTAACACGTGATGATGTCTTTGTCACACCCGTTCTCTAATCAAGTGAATAAGTCCCAAAGTATGACAGTCTAGTACAGCAAAACTCGGTTATAACGAAGTCACAGGGACCTATGAAATTACTTCGCTATATCCGTAATTCGTTATAACCGTATAAGAAATTCATTAAATTTATATAGCTGGGGATCCAATATGACTTCGCTATATCCATAAATTCGCAATATCCGTGTTCGTACTTAACGAGTTTTGCTGTATGTGTTTACGATTCAATGGCGACATGTGGTTTTCGTCGGTTTACTGCACAATATTTAACTCGTCACCGGAAAAACTGTACAGCTTCTTTATCACTTTATAAGACCGAAATTGAAAGATTATATTCTAAAGACATTGCTCCATGCTGACATTTAATATTGGAGTTATTTTAGATGATTAATAGTTGCTTCAAGTACCGTACAAATGCTTTGACGTTTGCATGTACATATGCATAAAACACTTTCTGTAATATTGAGGGGTTAAATAATAATTGCACACCATCTCCTGTTGTCTAGAACTAAGGACCTTTATACTACCTGCTAAAACTATGTACATGTGTATCAAGTGAAAAAAACTCAATGTTTTATTGACACGATAGCACCTACATCTCTTTAAACAGTGGTTTAGGCCGATGTATTGTAAGTTGATATAAGGCTTCATAAAGCAAATTTTGTAAAGGTGAGCATAGAAATGAAAGATTATACATCATTTTAAATATTTCTTTCACAAATCTCAAAAAAAGAATTGAAAATAAGTTTCCATGGAACATTTCAAGTTACCCTTTATTTTCAACACAGCTGGGTACTTGTAGTAGCTCACAATGCATTGCGATTCATTCAGCAGTACGCAAAGTAAACAGATTGCTAATTTACATGCAAATTTATGCTGACGTCAGAAAATCTAGTGGTCTCGACCTGTTTTGAGTTTTCTTTGTAAAGATTTGGTCAGGTTACAGATCAACTTAACACCACCAACAGCCATGAGATGTTTCACAGCATGCAATATGCCTTTGTCACTTACCGGTAATACATTTCTTTTTCAGGGCAGACAACTGAATAAAAAAGGATGTGGCTATCATCAGTGATTGGTCTCTTTGCCTTTAATGTCCTTGCTACATTGGGTACATGATCTTTTATGAATGATAATAAATATGATAAGATTAAAAAAAAGGATTATGTTTAAATTCAAGCTGAATACTTTTGTACTGTCTTGTGAAGGAAGTCATTATTATAGTATATATAATCTAACAGAAGAGTGTCAAGCACTAGATGCATTTTGTTATGTTATTGCAGTAAATGGACAGAATCCTCCCACATGGATCAATGACATGAACGCATTAAGAATCGAAGAAGACACAGCAGTGGGTAAGTAATGGTACAAGTCATGGAAGGTGTAATGTCAATTGTAATGGTACAATTCATGCAGCTATCAATTGTAATGGTATAAGTCATGAAATGTGTGCTTTCAGTTGTAATGGTACAAGTCATGTAAGGTGTACTATCAATTGTAATGGTACAAATCATGCAGGGTGTACTATCAATTGTAATGGTATAAGTCATGTAAGGTGTACTATCAATTGTAATGTTACAAGTTATGCAGGGTGTAATGTCAATTTTAATAGTACAAGTCATGTAAGGTGTACTATCAATTATAATGGTACAAGTCATGCAGGGTGTTCTGTCAATTGTAATGGTACAAGTCATGTAAGGTGTACTATCAATTGTAATGGTACAAGTCATGTAGGGTGTAATGTCAATTGTAATGGTACAAGTCATGTAAGGTGTACTATCAATTGTAATGGTACAAGTCATGTAGGGTTTTACCATCAATTGTAATGGTACAAGTCATGTAAGGTGTACTATCAATTGTAATGGTACAAGTCATGTAGGGTTTTACCATCAATTGTAATGGTACAAGTCATGTAGGGTGTAATGTCAATTGTAATGGTACAAGTCATGTAAGGTGTACTATCAATTGTAATGTTACAAGTTATGCAGGGTGTAATGTCAATTGTAATGGTACAATTCATGCAGCTATCAATTGTAATGGTATAAGTCATGAAATGTGTGCTTTCAGTTGTAATGGTACAAGTCATGTAAGGTGTACTATCAATTGTAATGGTACAAGTCATGTAGGGTGTAATGTCAATTGTAATGGTACAAGTCATGTAAGGTGTACTATCAATTGTAATGGTACAAGTCATGTAAGGTGTACTATCAATTGTAATGGTACAAGTCATGTAGGGTGTAATGTCAATTGTAATGGTACAAGTCATGCAGGGTGTACTATCAATTGTAATGTTACAAGTTATGCAGGGTGTTCTATCAATTGTTATGGTACAAGCCATGCAGGGTGTTCTATTAATTGTAATGGTACAAGCCGTGTAACGTGTACTATCAAATGTAATGGTGTAAGTCATGCAGGGTGTTCTATCAATTGTTATGGTACAAGTCATGTAAGATGTACTATCAATTGTAATGGTACAAGCCATTCTGGGTGTACAATGTACTATCAATTGTAATGGTACAAGTAATGTAGGGTCAACTGTCAATTGTATCAAAGCAATGTTCACTTAAAACAATATATAATTTCTTTTCCAGTTACATTATAAGAATAGTTTTTTACTTTAAAGTGGATGAAAAATTTGTTCATGTACTGATAATGTGTGGGGAAAACTGTTTCAATCAATATATAGTTTAAACATGTTGATTTTCCTTTGCATGGAATTGAAGATGAATGATAGTTTTGTGAATTGCAACATTCAATCTGAATATGTGTTGCTAGGTACTGTTGTCTATACACTGTTGGCCCAGGGAGGGGGACCAGATGGCATCACCTACGATATGTTGGAAACAGATAAGTTTATTGTCAACAGAGCGACAGGTGAAGTAAGATTGAGGAGGCTGCTGGACTATGAGGTAAAATAAATACATCTTGTCTTAAGATATAGTTTCCAAATGCTGAATTTCTTTAAGTCTGTTTACGGTAAAACTTAAGGGTAATGAGTCAGACTCAATTAGGTTAAAAAAAACAATCTTTTTTAGATGTCTAAAGATGAAAGGTCATGGTTAATTCTTCTTTCCTTTCTTAAACCTTCCACCCAATTATTTTGTCTTTAAACAGGGGACATAAATTCCTTGCATTAGGTTGTATAATATTACAGTCAATTCAAAATTAAGATTCACTTTTTTTTCAATGAAATAAAATAAATTTATGATATATTAATACCTTATAAGTGGAAATTTTAGTGAGACGCAAATTTAACGATTTGTCCTTAAAAACGGGTATTCAATTTTTAGCTAGAAGCAATTTTAGCGATATGAAAAAGCTCACTAAAGAGGTCATTACAAATAAAATGCAATTAATTTTTAGCGATATGCAATTTTAGCTATCTTAGCACTCTTGCTAATAAAGCCAAAATTAAATCCTCGCTAAAAATTCTTATACGGTATATTAAATTCAAACTCCGAATATTTAATTAGTATGGGAGTCAATTTTATAAACAAAAAGATATATCTTTATTTATTGTAGACAAACCCAACTTTATTAGTAACAGTGATAGCCACTGGCAGCAATGGATTACAGGTAAGGCAAAAAAAAATTAATTTCTTGGTTCTCAGGCCCTCCCTCATCTCTTCCAAGGGTGCCTCATTGACCCTTTTTATTGCTAAATCAATAAAATATAAACACCAAATCACCTCCCTCATCATTTTTTGAGGTTTTGTACAATGTAAAAAGCTACCTCATCATGTTTTGGGGGCAATAAAAAAGAAAAAAAATGCTTCCCTCCCTCATCATATTTCTTGAAAAAAGGCCTGAGAACCAAGTAATTAACATTGCATGGCCTAATTAATAAATTTTTTTGAAATAGTGGTAGATGTAAACTTAACTTGCTAGATAACTGTTCTCTTGTGCTAACAAAAACTGTACTAATGGTAAATACCAATTTCTTAAATTTATTGAAAATTTGTAAACTTGACAAAAACTAATGCATTAATGAATGAAATTGATAAATTAAGGTGATCTTTACAGGCTCAGAGACAGTCTAGAGTTGTCATCATTGATGCTAATGATGAACCACCTGTGTTTTCTACAGACACACTGACGGCATCAGTGTCTGAGGTGAGTTTTGATATTAAAGGGCATGTAGAATATATATAAGGTCTTCCATGATTTCTAGTTGGATATGATTTTTAGCTCACCTGAGCCGAAGGCTCAAGTGAGCTTTTCTAATCAAATTTTGTCCAGCGTCCGTCTGTCTGTCTGTCCGTCTGTCTGTGAACTGTTCACATTTTTGACTTCTTCTCAAGAACCGCTGGGCCAATTTCAACCAAACTTGCCACAAAGCATCCTTGGGTGAAGGGGATTCTAGTTTGTTCAAATGAAGGGCCACGCCCTCATTCAAGGGGAGATAATTGAGAATTAGTGAAAATTTGGTGGCATGTTTTAAAAATCTTCTTCTGAAGAACTACTGTGTCAGGAAAGATGAAACTTATGGGGAAACATCCTCAGGTAGTGTAGATTCAAATTTGTTCAAATCATGACCCCCGGGGGTAGGGCCGGGCCAAAATGGCCGATCAAAGTTTAACACAGAAGTATATAGGAAAATTCTTTAAAAATCTTCTTCTCAAGAATAGCAAAGCCATAATTGATCATATTTATATGGAAGCATCCTCAGGTAGTGTAGATTCAAGTTTATACAAATCATGACCCCTGGGGGTAGGGCAGGGCAGGGCCAAAATGGCCGATCAAAGTTTTACATAGAAATATATAGGAAAATTCTTTTTAAAATCTTCTTCTCAAGAATAGCAAAGCCATGACTGATCATATTTACATGGAAGCATCCTCAGGTAGTGTAGATTCAAATTTGTTCAAGTCAGGATCCCCGGGGGTAGGGGAGGGCCAAAATGGCCGATCAATGTTTTACTCAGAAATATATAGGAAAATTCTTTTAAAAATCTTCTTCTCAAGAATAGCAAATCCATGACTGATCATATTTATATGGAAGCATCCTCAGGTAGTGTAGATTCAAGTTTGTTCAAATCAGGATCCCCGGGGGTAGGGCAGGGCCAAAATAACTGATCAAAGTTTTCATAGAAATATATAGGAAAATTCTTTTAAAATCTTCTTCTCAAGAATAACAAAGCCATGACTGATCATATTTATATGGAAGCATCCTCAGGTAGTGTAGATTCAAGTTTGTTCAAATCATGATCCCCGGGGGTAGGGCAGGGCCAAAATGGCCGATCAATGTTTTACTCAGAAATATATAGGAAAATTCTTTTAAAAATCTTCTTCTCAAGAATAGCAAATCCATGACTGATCATATTTATATGGAAGCATCCTCAGGTAGTGTAGATTCAAGTTTGTTCAAATCAGGATCCCCGGGGGTAGGGCAGGGCCAAAATAACTGATCAAAGTTTTACATAGAAATATATAGGAAAATTCTTTTTAAAATCTTCTTCTCAAGAATAGCAAAGCCATGACTGATCATATTTACATGGAAGCATCCTCAGGTAGTGTAGATTCAAGTTTGTTCAAATCATGATCCCTGGGGTTAGGGCAGGGCCAAAATGGCCGATCAATGTTTTACTCAGAAATATATACGAAAATTCTTTTAAAAATCTTCTTCTCAAGAATAGCAAATCCATGACTGATCATATTTATATGGAAGCATCCTCAGGTAGTGTAGATTCAAGTTTGTTCAAATCAGGATCCCCGGGGGTAGGGCAGGGCCAAAATGGCCGATCAAAGTTTTGCATAGAAATATATAGGAAAATTCTTTAAAAATCTTTTTCTCAAGAATAGCAAAGCCATGACTGATCATATTTATATGGAAGCATGCTCAGGTAGTGTAGATTCAAGTTTGTTCAAATCATGACCCCTGGGGGTAGGGCAGGGCCAAAATGGCCGATCAATGTTTTACTCAGAAATATATAGGAAAATTCTTTTAAAAATCTCCTTCTCAAGAATAGCAAATCCATGACTGATCATATTTTTATGGAAGCATCCTCAGGTAGTGTAGATTCAAATTTGTTCAAATCAGGATCCCCGGGGGTAGGGCAGGGCCAAAATAACTGATCATAGTTTTACTTAGAAATATATAGGAAAAGCCATGACTGATCATATTTATATGGAAGCATGCTCAGGTAGTGTAGATTCAAGTTTGTTCAAATCATGACCCCTGGGGGTAGGGCAGGGCCAAAATGGCCGATCAATGTTTTACTCAGAAATATATAGGAAAATTCTTTTAAAAATCTCCTTCTCAAGAATAGCAAATCCATGACTGATCATATTTATTTGGAAGCATCCTCAGGTAGTGTAGATTCAAGTTTGTTCAAATCAGGATCCCCGGGGGTAGGGCAGGGCCAAAATAACTGATCAAAGTTTTGCATAGAAATATATAGTAAAATTCTTTTTACAATCTTCTTCTCAAGAATAGCAAAGCCATGACTGATCATATTTATATGGAAGCATGCTCAGGTAGTGTAGATTCAAGTTTGTTCAAATCATGACCCCTGGGGGTAGGGCAGGGCCAAAATGGCCGATCAATGTTTTACTCAGAAATATATAGGAAAATTCTTTTAAAAATCTCCTTCTCAAGAATAGCAAATCCATGACTGATCATATTTTTATGGAAGCATCCTCAGGTAGTGTAGATTCAAATTTGTTCAAATCAGGATCCCCGGGGGTAGGGCAGGGCCAAAATAACTGATCATAGTTTTACTTAGAAATATATAGGAAAATTCTTTTTAAAATCTTCTTCTCAAGAATAGCAAAGCCATGACTGATCATATTTACATGGAAGCATCCTCAGGTAGTGTAGATTCAAGTTTGTTCAAATCATGATCCCCGGGGGTAGGGCAGGGCCAAAATGGCCGATCAATGTTTTACTCAGAAATATATAGGAAAATTCTTTTTAAAATCTTCTTCTCAAGAATAGCAAATCCATGACTGATCATATTTATATGGAAGCATCCTCAGGTAGTGTAGATTCAAGTTTGTTCAAATCAGGATCCCCGGGGGTAGGGCAGGGCCAAAATAACTGATCAAAGTTTTACATAGAAATATATAGGAAAATTCTTTTTAAAATCTTCTTCTCAAGAATAGCAAAGCCATGACTGATCATATTTACATGGAAGCATCCTCAGGTAGTGTAGATTCAAGTTTGTTCAAATCATGATCCCTGGGGTTAGGGCAGGGCCAAAATGGCCGATCAATGTTTTACTCAGAAATATATAGGAAAATTCTTTTAAAAATCTTCTTCTCAAGAATAGCAAATCCATGACTGATCATATTTATATGGAAGCATCCTCAGGTAGTGTAGATTCAAGTTTGTTCAAATCAGGATCCCCGGGGGTAGGGCAGGGCCAAAATGGCCGATCAAAGTTTTGCATAGAAATATATAGGAAAATTCTTTAAAAATCTTTTTCTCAAGAATAGCAAAGCCATGACTGATCATATTTATATGGAAGCATGCTCAGGTAGTGTAGATTCAAGTTTGTTCAAATCATGACCCCTGGGGGTAGGGCAGGGCCAAAATGGCCGATCAATGTTTTACTCAGAAATATATAGGAAAATTCTTTTAAAAATCTCCTTCTCAAGAATAGCAAATCCATGACTGATCATATTTTTATGGAAGCATCCTCAGGTAGTGTAGATTCAAATTTGTTCAAATCAGGATCCCCGGGGGTAGGGCAGGGCCAAAATAACTGATCATAGTTTTACTTAGAAATATATAGGAAAAACCATGACTGATCATATTTATATGGAAGCATGCTCAGGTAGTGTAGATTCAAGTTTGTTCAAATCATGACCCCTGGGGGTAGGGCAGGGCCAAAATGGCCGATCAATGTTTTACTCAGAAATATATAGGAAAATTCTTTTAAAAATCTCCTTCTCAAGAATAGCAAATCCATGACTGATCATATTTATATGGAAGCATCCTCAGGTAGTGTAGATTCAAGTTTGTTCAAATCAGGATCCCCGGGGGTAGGGCAGGGCCAAAATAACTGATCAAAGTTTTGCATAGAAATATATAGGAAAATTCTTTAAAAATCTTTTTCTCAAGAATAGCAAAGCCATGACTGATCATATTTATATGGAAGCATGCTCAGGTAGTGTAGATTCAAGTTTGTTCAAATCATGACCCCTGGGGGTAGGGCAGGGCCAAAATGGCCGATCAATGTTTTACTCAGAAATATATAGGAAAATTCTTTTAAAAATCTCCTTCTCAAGAATAGCAAATCCATGACTGATCATATTTTTATGGAAGCATCCTCAGGTAGTGTAGATTCAAATTTGTTCAAATCAGGATCCCCGGGGGTAGGGCAGGGCCAAAATAACTGATCATAATTTTAATTAGAAATATATAGGAAAATTCTTTTTAAAATCTTCTTCTCAAGAATAGCAAAGCCATGACTGATCATATTTATCTGGAAGCATCCTCAGTTAGTGTAGATTCAAGTTTGTTCAAATCATGACCCCTGGGGGTAGGGCAGGGCCACAATGCTCAGGTGAGCGATGTGGCCCTTGGGCCTCTTGTTATCCAACAAGTTGTGTATTTATCCCCAAGTCTTGGCGAGTTGGTCAGGATTAAAGTCATATCCAATGTCAAATAATAAAAGATTCTTTTTACTCTATGTTTAATACTTCACAACCAATGGTTTACACTGTTTTTATATAGGATTCCACTTAATTTTATTTTCTCATGCTAACGCAAAAACCTTTGTGATGTCAGAACTGCACTTTTAAAACTGTGGGATATAAAAAAAATATCCATTGAGGCATATCCACAGGATAAAGGGGTAGACATGGGATAAAATTGATGATAACATTTCAACAAAAGGAATATCTAATGATAAAGTACTTCAATCATCACTTCAGGGGTTATTGGTGACGTTGCTCTTGCTTGAATATATTTAATGCTTTCAGATGTCTCATGGTAATGCTAAGGCCCAAAATCTAATTTTACATGTCTGTTTAGCTCATTTTGAAGAAGTATGTTTTTTTTTTAATCATAGGATGCCCCCATTGGTACTACAGTGTATTCCAATCTCAGAGTCACTGATGTTGACACATCTAATACTGGTACAATTACAGTGGAGTGTAATGTAACAAAAGCCCTAGCTAGCCCCGTAAGTATGCATAATATTATTTAGGAAGATCATAGGGTATATGTACTTGAATTTTATGATTAAATGCATTTTGAGATTTTTCACTTTTTTCCTTTTTTTCTAGTATGTTGATGTTTGTAACAAGTTTAAACTAAATCGTCAGACATCTTCCAACAAGGATTGGAATGGATTTATTTATTTAGATGGAACTCTGGATTATGAAACTAGACCATTTTACCAGATGCCTTTAACAGCTTATGTAAGTACTGAAAGAAATTCACCATAAACTACTGGGCCGTAATTAAAGTACTTCTTATCTCCCCTGATAGCTCATGATTTTGGCTTATGCTTAGATGAAGGTCCATGGGATGGAACTTTCCCAACTTATTATAAGAATGGAATCTGAAGGGTTGATCCAGTTAAAATAATAAAAAGAAGACAGAAAACTTTGAATTATTAGACCCCCTCCAAATAAAGGCATTATGCTATGAACCTTATAAGACCCTCAATCCACTGGAAAGAAATCAATTCAATGTCAGCCATGTCCATCCTATTAAAAAAAAATGCATTACATTTTTTATTCTATAAACTACATGTATTACCATCCCTCACCCAAAATACTGGCATTTAATTAAAATTCAATTTAATAAGTTAAGAGTTCCTCAAGAATATAAAAAAAGAAAAGTTCACTATAAAAAAAAAATATGTTGGTATATGTTCCTGAACCCTTTCAGATAATTTTCAGTGGAAAAGCCTAAACTCATCTTGAATGGCAGAACCGAAATCTCTCAGTAAAAGAAATGTTCAATTTTTTTTTAATTGTCTACTTTTTTAGGATGGTGTACACTACACAGACAGAAGTTTAGAAATAACGGTGTTGAATGTCCAGGATGCTCCGCCCAGATTTATTATAGCTAATGACGTCAACACACCAGAGGGATTACCAGCGGTAAAGTTACCTCCCTTCTTTCACCATTTTTCAAAAAATAAAAATGATTAGACAAATAATAAGTTCTTTAAAGATCAAATATTTTGAATATCTTTAATGTTTTGAAATATACTGATTTATAAACTAAATGTTCCACTGGTTATGCTTGCTTTATGTGATGACAGGGCACAAATGTGAACTACGTGAAAGCAGTAGATGGGGATACAAGCAATCCTAGAGACATTCAATATTTTTTTACACAAAGTAAGTTTTTACTGTATTTTAAATATATGATAATATGAACCAGCATGCATTGAAATAGAAGCATTTTATATTGTGTAAGTTTTGTTCTTGCATTATATTTTGTTCTCTCTAATATATGAATATTTTTAGTTCTATGGGTTGTGCAGATTTTATTTTGGAAGTTGATATTGTTATTTGAAAAGATGCAGTCTACTAAATATGAAATTTTAAAAAATATAATGTTAATAAAAATATTCTCTACATTCATTTTGGTAAAGAACGGTGATTAAGAGGAATAAACTTAAAAAAAATATACAAAGGTCAAAGTTGTTTATTTTCACATATTGTTTTTCACACAACAAAAACGCGGGAAGACTTTCCCTGAGTCTTGCCATTGTTTTTGTTGTACACAAAGAATTTCAATTCACATTTCATTATTTTAAGCTGGTATGTTTTTTTTTCGATTTATTTATACCGTAATTTTTAGCTCACCTCGACGAAGTCGAGATGAGCTTATGCTATACCCCCAGCATTGGCGTCGGCGTACCAGGTTAAAGTTTTAGGAGCAAGTCCATTCCCAAGTAACTATAAGCCCTACCTGAATCAAACTTGCATGGATGATGCACCTAGGGATGGACACTACCAGACTTGCTACGGATGCTGGATCTGATTTACATTTTCCAGATGAGTGACCAGGTTAAAGTTTTTGGAGCAGGTCCATTCCCAAGGAACTATCAGCCCTACCAGGACCAAACTTGCATGGATGATGCATTTAGGGATGGACACTACCAGACTTGCTACGGATGCTGGATCTGACCTACATTTTCCAGATGAGTGACCAGGTTAAAGTTTTTGGAGCAGGTCCATTCCCAAGTAACTATAAGCTCACCTTGACCAAACTTGCATGGATGATGCATGTAGGGATGACACTACCAGATATGCTTCGGATGCTGGATCTGACCTACATTTTCCAGATGAGTGACCAGGTTAAATTTTCGGAGCAGGTCCATTCCCAAGGAACTATAATCCTACCCAGACCAAATTTGCATGGATGATGCATCTAGGGATGGACACTACCAGACTTGCTTCGGATGCTGGATCTGACCTACATTTTCATTCCCAAGTAACTATAAGACCAACCTGAACACAACTTGCATGGATAATACATCTAGGGATTGACACTACCAGACTTGCTTCAGATACTGGATCTGACCTACATTTTCATTCCTAAATAACTATAAGCCCTACCTGAACCAAACTGGCATGGATGATGCATCTAGGGATGGACACTACCAGACTTGCTTCGGATGCTGGATCTGACCTACATTTTCATTCCCAAGTAACTATAAGCCCTACCTGAACCAAACTTGCATGGATGATGCATTTAGGGATGGACACTACCAGATTTGTTTCGGATGCTGGATCTGACTTATTTTTTCCAAACAAGAGCCATGTTAAAGTTTTTGGAACAGGTCAATCCCAATGAACTTCCTGGTCCTAGATATGCAGTATTAACAAAGTTATGAATATTTGTTTACACTATATATGGTTTTCATGCTAGACATGTAGAAATGTGTATACACCATGTAAGGGGTTAAACAGAACTTGCAAGAATATTGTTGTCTGGATAAATACTAACTATTAAGAAAATATGATATGAGATTTGCATTACTTACACTGATAACATTCGTCGAGGTGAGCTTAGTAATCTTTGATTACCTATGTTTTAGTTTTAAATTTTGTTTGTTAGCTTGTTAATTTATTCATTTAGTTATTTACATTGTTCATTTATTTATTTCTTTGATATGTTGTTCCGTGATTTTTCATTTCACATTCTTCACATTTCATTTTACAGATGGTAAGTTTACTGCACATTACAGTTTTCTCCCCTTTCCAAGTTTTAAACATAGCACCACAGTAAGCTTAATTTAACATTGGCGAAACGTTTTTCCTCATAATTGCTAAAAATAATTACATTGATAAGGTAAACAGATAAATGTTAAACATGTTTCAAGAGTTAATCTTACAAACATTCAAAGTGTTTAGTTTTTTGGGTTTTCTGGCTTGGTTAACTTGCATGTAGTTGATACAGATTGCTTTATCGGCTTTTCATTTTGTTGTATTTTTTTCAGTGTTGTATGTTGATATTTTCTTATGGAAATCAATCTTTGTTGTTAGATAACATTGCACGTTCATTTATATAATTTTTTTTTACCACAAAAGTATTAATTAATACCCTCAATTATCTTACAAACTAATATTTAATTACTTTTTTATTTAAAAATTCTTCTTGTTTAGCCATAAACCAGAAGAGTTTATGCAAATTGTAATGATCCATCATCCGTCTTCCATGGTCTCTGTGTCTATTTCTTGGTCTAGAAACAATTTTTCAAAATACTACAATTTTGTCCAATATCAAGAAATCTAATGGTTTACATGCAGACCACCAAAAGATAGACGAGCCTTTTTTTTTTTTAAAACAAAATTATTTTGTTAAAAACAAGTACCCTGGGGTTTAGAAGACTATTTTCCAACAATCTGTTGGAATTCCCATGGGTACCAATTGTGTCCCATTATCAGCAGTCCCATTTAATGAAATATTTTTCAAAAATCTTCTTCACAAGAACTACTTCACCAGAAAAGTTTAAAATTTTGTGAAAGTTTTTTTTCTGTGTCTACATTTAAGTTTGTCCAACCCTTGGAGATAGAGGCAGCCTTATAATTACATTGTTAATTTATGATATAGAATCACTCTCAAGAAGTGTGGATACAAGTTGTACAGAATATAGCCCATAGAGTAGAGTTAGGCCTCAATAGACAATCAATGTGTTTTACATAAGAGTATACCATAGAGAAAATCTAATGAAAAACATCATGGCCATGGGACTCAGGTGAGCCTTGTGGTCCATGAAGATGTTTATTTTTACCCTCTTTCCATCAATTTAGAGTCAAAGCAGTTAAATCAGCACAAATAAGTCTGTTCAAATTATTCATTTGCTGGAAAGTGTAACTGTTTTACAATTTGAATTCAACTCAAACTTCATATTGCATATCATACCGGTATCTTAAATACAGTCTTCAGTGCTGGAATTGTCTAAAATTCATTCTCATTGGATTTGGGATAAGAAGTGCTCTTTAGTTTGGAAGGAGACATGTTGAGTGTTGAGAAATATTCTCTCTTTCCAATGCAATATTTTCAGTACATGTATTGAGTGTATATATTTAGGGCAATTAAGACTGACATTTTTCTTGGAACACTTAGTACCTCAAGTTATATTATTGCAAAGCATGTGCATCATAGATATAAAACTTATCAGACTTGTTGCTTGTTTATGAGTAAATATCATTAGTTGATTCCATCTAAAAAGATTAATTATGTTCATAGATATAGTGGGTATGGTTTGACAATGTTTTCTTACAATTTCAATACACTATGCAATTTTTTTATGCTTTGACAAGGTTCACAGACAGCTATGCTTTAGTTAGTTTAAAGCTTTTAGAGTAAAAGAGCTTTAGCAAATTAAATTTAAAAAAGAAAAAATTAAAGAAAAGGCATGAAATAATGAAAATGACAGTTTTACAAGATTACAAGAAAAAGCATGTATTCCTTTAAAATAAACTGTCATGTAATTTTTAAGTCGTGATCATATTATTTTTACAAGACAGTTTCTGAAAACTTCAAATAAATTTATTTTTTAACCAAGCAAGTGAACTTCTGAAGATCAAAATTGGCTTGGCAGTGTGGGAAAAATATACGAATCTGTAAAAATGAAATTACAGTGAATTTTATTATGGCTGACTTTACATACTTCATAATAAGGAGTGTGGATAGAAGATGTTTTGAAAGCATAAAAATGTGATAAATATCCATTATCAAGCCTTACATGTTCATAAGCCAACAATGTAATATATAGATATTTTCTTGCAGCAACTGGAGACAAATTTATTATTGATCCTGTGACTGGAAACATAACTAATAGAATCCCTTTGGACCGTGAAAGCCCAGCCTTTGCCAAGGGCCATGAAGATTTGGGCATCATTGTAAGTACAGTAGAACACCATTATAGCAAACATGCTTATAATGAATTGATGCTTACAGCGAAGTAATTTTCATTCCCCATGACTTTATTTGACAGTGAAATCTTTATTTTCATGTGGGGATTAATTTTCTTTGTTTTTAAGACATGAAGAGATCCAGGAATTTATGACCACCACAAAATTTAAAATTTCATATGAATTTCTACTTAATATTCTCCAACCACAAAATCTAGTCTCAAATCCAATATTTTTTCCTAAAACCGAAAATTTGCTCCCATGAAAATATGTGATTTTACAGTATATTTTTAACTTGAAGGATGAAACAACGTTTTCTTATAAGAAAGCAAAATCATCTGTCTGTGGCACTTCGTGATAAGCGTGTTCTACTGTAATAGAATACACCTTTGTGTAAATAATTAACCAGCTTCAATCGATTTAGCATAAAAAACTGAAAAATTGTCTTTAAATGATGCATTTAGGTTTCCCTCAAAGATATCAAACTTCATTTAGTATTATTTTGCTGTTTTTTTACCATAATATACTTCAGTTTGGACATTATTCAAGAAAAATTTTGTTTTTGGGTGGAAGTCACTTTTTAGGTCACCTGAGTAACTCAGGTGACCTATTGCTATCCGTTTTTGTCAGTCGTCATCCGTCTTGTCTTAACATTAACCACTGAACCAATTTCAACCAAATTTTGTATACAGCATCTATTGGTGAAGGGGAACAAAAATTGTGAATTTTATGGTCCCTGCCCCCCTGGGGCCTGAGGTGGGGCCAAAACCACCAAAATTATTGCAATCTTTAAAAATCCTCTTCTTTACTCCTGGACATCAAGCAGGCAAACTGTTGGCATGAATGTAATGAGCATTGAGTCCTCAACCAAAATTGTGAAATTCATGGCCCCAGGGTCAGGGGTTCTTGTGCTTGGGCGGGGCTATATAGATTATATAGTGAAAATGCATTATTTCTTTGAAAATCTTCTTCTCTGCTTCTGGGTATTAAATAAACTAATTAAGTATATAGTTATGTTGAGCAAGAATGCCTCTTTCAAAATTGTGAATTTTATGGCCCCAGGGTCAGGGGTTCTGGTGTTAGGGCGGGGCTCTATTGATCATATAGTGAAAATGCATTAATTCTTTGAAAATCTTCTTCTCTATTCCTGGGTATTGAATAAACTAACTAAGTACATAGTTATGATGAGAAAGAGTGCTTCTTCCAAAATTGTGAATTTTATGGCCCAAAGGCCAGGGGTTCTGGTGTTAGGGCGGGGCTGTATTGATCATATATTGAAAATGCATTTATTCTTTGAAAATCTTCTCTGCTTTTGGGTACTAAATAAACTAACTAAGCACATAGTTCTGATAAAATTGTGAAGTTTTTGGCCCCAGGGTCAGGGGTTCTGATGTTAGGGCTGGGCTCAATTGATTATATAGTGAAAATGCATTATTCTTTGAAAATCTTCTTCTCTGCTTCTGGGTATTAAATAAACTAACTACTGTAGATCACTAAGTTTTCGCGACACCTTATTTTCATGAAAAAGGCATTGACTGTTGATTAGCGAGACAAAATTTTCAAGAATTGTGGTTATTGCCTTATATATAATCCTAAGGAATACTATTATACACGAGATTTAAATTTTTGCGAGCACACTGTCTCGCGTAATTACGCGAAAATAAAGTTCTCGCGCATAAAAAGTGATTTACAGTAAGTACATAGTTATGATGAGCAAGAGTGCCACTTCCAAAATTGTGAATTTTAATGCCCTAGGATCAGGGGTTCTGGTATTAGGGTGGGGCTCTATTGATTATATAGTGAAAGTGCATTAATTCTTTGAAAATCTTTTCCTTTGCTCCTGGGTTTTATGGCAATGATCCAAGTATATATATTTATGATGAAGAAAGGTGCATCTAGCAAAATGGTTATTTTTTATGCCCCCTGGGTCTAGGGGGGGGGGGGTTACAATAGTCTGAAAATAAATTAATGCTTCGAAATCTGCTCTTTAGTATTGATCAATCATTTTATGATAAAATTTGCAAAATTTTGAAATATGTGGCCCCAGGGTTAGTGGTTCCTTTGGGGTGAGGTGCATAACTGGTTATAAAGTGGAAGTGCATTTTCTCTTTGTTACTCTGATCTACATCTGGGTATTAAGTAAATAGAGTAATCATGCTAATTTAAGTTTATAATTATGAACCAATTTTAATTGTTTGAAAGTTGTTACACGATACTCAGGTGACCTATAAGGCCCGTGGGCCTCTTGTTATAGAATAGGCCTCATACTTTATGTTAATTATATTGGCAGTCATGTACAGACATATCTTTAATAGACCTACTTTAAAATAATGTTTGCTTGCCCTCTTCTGACTCAGGATAAAAGTACTAAAAAACTTCTTGTCCTGGAATGTAATATTGTGGAATCATCATTGTTCGTGGGTTTTCTTGGTTTTCGTGGGTAACCTTGACACATGAATTTTAATTACATCCCATCGAAAGTATATACAAACATTTTTTTGTTATTTATTAAAACTTGAATTAGGAAAAAACGAACTTGTTATGAACAAAATTACGTCCCCACAAACCAAAAATTTTTTTTGATACCCACGAACATTGCCCCCCACAAATAAAAATGATTCCACAGTAATAAGTTTTGAGTCAGGCCATTTTTAATCAGTAGGTCGGGAGAGGGCAACCAAACAATTTTTAGCTCACCTCAGTGAAGTTGGGAGAGCTTATGTAATACCCTCGGCGTCGGCGTCCCAGGTTAAGGTTGAGTTTTTTGGAGCAGTTTTCTTTTTCAGTACTTCTGTATCCTATATTGATTAGACATGCATGGAAGATGCTTCTAGTGTGTTTCATTGTACCAGTAAAGTTTCAGATGCTGCAGTTTCAGCAAAGGAATGACCAGGTTAATGTTTCTGGAGCAGGTTAACATTTTTGGTGCAGTTTTTGGTGTAGGTGAGGTGATCTCATTCCAAGTAACTATAAGCCCTATGTGACCAAACTTGCATGGATGATACATCTAAGAATGTACACTACCAGGCTTGCTTCGGATGCTGAATCTGCTGTGCACTCTTTGTTGGCCGGGTAATTGTGTGACTTTGCCTTACATAAAGACAACATTCGTTGAGGTGAGCTTTGTAATCTCTGATTACCTCTGTTTTAAAGATGGCCACATCAAAATATTTTTAGGCACGTGAAGTCATCAGTTTAAATCCACTGGTGCTAGGAAATGATGCTCAGACAACGGCTAGAACTTCAGTTCGTATCAACATATATGATATCAACGACCAGGCACCGACCTTTGACCCTGTCAACTACCAAGTGTCCATTCCTGAGGATACCCCAAACAAGACCCCCCTCCCCAATCTGAGTCTGAGTGTGACTGATTTGGATGTGGTAAGTTTTTCTCTAATTCTCTCCCTTGATTCTAGAAAAAATGAACAAATATTAGATTCAAAGCTCTTCAAAGTTGTATTAGATTACAACATAACATTCTTTAAGCAATAGATTCTGCTTTCCTGCTTAATGTGGTGTTCATTAATGGCTAACTTTTTCCTATTGTGATGATGAACCAATATTCAAGACACATGATAATAAATACTGGGGATAGGTAGAACATTCTGAATTTAAATGCTGCTTTGGCTGTAGGGTAAAAATCTCCCTAAAAAAAATGTACGCTCACCTCTTAAGATCTTACCACATTCTGGAGCATATTAGCTTTTTAATGTCTTCATCTTTTAGCCTTTCTTTTGTGTAGTGATATTTAATTGTCAGTTTCTGTTCTTTATTAAAACATGATGTCCTGTTATATGTGTGATTTTATTTGACAGGGACCTAACGGTGTATACACTCTGACTTTGGACCAGTACACTGCTGAGTTTGAAGTCTCCCCAGCTACAGGACAAGGAAGCACACCGGCCATTATTCTGGTCAAGAACACCTCCCTCATAGATTACGAAAGGGGACCAAGAGTTTACACCATGAGGGTGAGTGGAGGGGGTCCACTAGAATATAAATGGAGTGAAAGTTAAAACTTACGTCTAATCACATTTTGTAGCCTCTGCAGCTAGCTCTGTCTTGTGTTGAATGGACTGTTTAAATTTTTCCACATTTTCAAGTTTCAGAGAGCTTTATACTTTTGATGACTAAAACTTGTTAATTCTTTTTAACTATTTCAAGGAAAAAATGTGTATTTGCTATTGTAAATGTGTTCCTTATAGGACCTGGTATGTTTTAATGTATATGGTAATCTTTGTGAAATTAGGTGATTGCCATTGAGACTCAAAACGAAACACCCAAGCAGTCAGGAACAGCCACAGTTACCGTCAACATTCTAGATGTCAACGACAATCTGCCACAATTCAATCAAGCCAGCTACACTGAGAGTATTCTGGAGACGGCCCCAGGGGGTACCAGTGTCACCAAAATACAGGTATTCTCTCCCCTTTATAAGTTTTATCAAAATTCTGGTATTGTCACCCCTTTATAACTATCTCCAAAGTACATGAATTATCTCCCCTATATAAGCCTCTTTAAAATGTATACAGGAATTTTCTCTCTTCTGTAAGTGCCACCAATGAAATTGATTTTCAAACAGTCTAAAAATATAACTTATACATTCTGCTGATTGATTTTAAGGTACATTATATGGTGTTTTGCCACAAGACAATATGGTACGACATTGTTTGACTTTTTCAGGCTACAGATCCTGATTCAGGCATTCGGGGGACTAGCGGCATTCGGTTTGGCCTGATTGGTGATGGCACAAATCTGTAAGAATTTAGATCAAGGGCAAATTAACATAAAGTCCAAATAAAAGGTTGAATTTATTAATTCTAATGGTCAGTTTATTGTTTAATTGTAATATTGCCTTTCAATTGTTTGACTTCAGGTTTCGAATTGATCCCTCTTCTGGAGTTGTATTTGTGGAAAATTGTCCCACTCCAGGTGACGGAAATTGTATCGACTACGAGAAGAAGCGACGTTATGATCTGACTGTGACAGCTCGAGACGAGGAAGGATCTGGACAAGCTGTTACAATCAACCTCATCATCAACATTCTGGACGTCAACGACAATGCCCCAGAATTCACAACCGCAGGTTGGATTTGTATGAATAATCACTTAAATTGAAAGAGTTTTATCATAAAAAGTGCAATTTCAAATAACCTGCAGACTTTGTAGCCTAACATACACAAAGGTACACTCATCAATCTATGATTTTGATGAAAAACAAAGATTGATGTAAATGTAATTGTACCTTTATTCCAGAAAAAATACAGGTGGACCAAAACTTTGTTTTGGATAAAGTTAACTAATACAAACAGGAAGAATTCACTTAATTTTGTTCAGTTAATACATATATTAAGAGAATGTTCTTATTTTATCTACAGAATACACCAGTTACATTGAAGAGAGCAAGACAGAGCCTAGCCCAGTTGTCATAGTAACAGCCAATGATCCTGATTCTAACAGCGCAGTCACGTATTCTGTGATTTCTGACACTACTAACCTATGGCAGATTGATCGGAATAGTGGTAAAGTCACCGCTAAACGACCCATTTATTACAGTGATACACCATCAAACCAAGGATTGTAAGTAACCTTGAGTGCTGGGAAGGGGGGCATGTACTAGTATCAGCTAATCCAACTCATTCTGTATTTTACTTGTATCAAATGTACTTGTACTAAATGTGATCTAAAATTAGGGTTGGATCTCAAAGTGAACGTACAGTTTCAAGAAATTTTTTGTCAAATTCAGTGCAGTAAATGTGAAGAAGTCATACAGTTAAAAGACAAGTTTCTGGTGGCGAAATCAGATTTAGGGTCTTATTTTCCCTTTCAGCTTTATCATCACTGTGCAAGCCACTGATGGAAAATTCAACCCGACTGCAAATGTGCGGATTTATGTCATTGTAAGTATGTGTAGTGATATGCCAGAGGTTTACATAGGCATTTCCATAGTATTTTCAGTCATATTTTTCTATCAATGTGAAATTGAACTAAACACAAAATGTATTCAATGATAAGGCATGTTTATTACTCTTATAATATTTAAATAAGGTTTATTGATGTATTGAATGACTATATTGAAAATGATAATAGTTGCCACTGAGAGATAGTTTTATTGTATTGGAATACATTACAAGCTTTATCAAAATTGTTCTTTTCTTACAGGATATAAATGATAATGCTCCAATATTTGAAGCAAGCAATTACAGAGAAGTGATCAGTGAAACAACATTAGGGAACTTTTATGTACTGACAGTGAAAGCCAATGACAGGGATTCTCCTACGACGGGGGCTGGAATCATTGATTACAGCATTGAAGTGGGGGCCAGCGGTAAATTTGTCATCAATGGGACGTCGGGTGTTATCACCACCTCACCAGACGCCACCTTTGATTACGATTTGACCCGCTTATATAATATGACGGTAAGTACGTGTATATATGCATGTTTTTTGACAAGTAAATTTCCTGTTAAATTCCCTGAGCCTTTGCCTTGGAATTTTCTTTTTTTTCTGTTTATAAATACCTTGGTTGCATTTATAAGCACAGCTGCTACATAGCCTCTATGTAAACTTACAGTCTTGAATGTGTAGCTAGTGTAGCATCTAACATAGGAAGAGCTAGTACATATAATTTATTTGAGTACAAAATCCAATATGGTGTCCCTATTTTCATCATATTGTTTTTTGAAAATCTTTTTGGTTTAAGAACAGGACCTTCTTATAATGGAAACACTTACTAGTAGGTCATTTTTTACCCTTTGACCTTTTTCTGCAGGTGAAGGCAAGAGACAGAGGTCGTCCTCAGCAGACGGGCACCTGTTATGTGACTATAGACATCCTTGACACAAACAATAAGGATCCATACTTCACTCCTTCTACACAAAGAGCAGATGTCTATGAAAGTAACTACATATTATCTCCCTTCTTTTCAAAAATAAAGGATGTCACTATGCTAATGATTGCTTCTCAATTGCTTAAAATTCATTCAATACTAAGGAGGATGGAATAATCTTACATGATATTCAAATTGCTAATATTGTTTTTCCTAAAATGTTGCTCTTTATCTGTATTTTTATGACAAGCTGTTATAAAATTGATTGATCATAGAGAGAACTTTGTTCTAGATGTCCCCATTGGATTCAGTGTCCACAAGATGCTGGCCACAGATCCAGATGACCAGTCCCAGCTGAACTTTTTCATCGTGGAACCTATAACTGCTATCACACCAGATGGAGTCTTAGTAGACAGAAACCTTTATGATATCACGGTAAGCAAAGAATAAAATTCTGGAATATCTCTGAAAGTATACATGAATACCATGGTAAGCAGACTGGAAATACATGTTTAGTACTGTAGGTCTCTAATTTTACACAATTTTCACAGATATTTGTTATTACATGTTTAAGTTTTGGTTATTGTTGCATATTATGTATCTTTAGTTAAGTTTTAATGATAATTAGGTTCTTAAGAGGAATATTTTACTAGGAAATTATCTTTGATAATACAAATATACACTGTGTACTCAAAATAATGAAATTTTCATGAGAAGAAAGACGCATGTAATTAATTGAAAATAAAGTTTTTGCAATTTAAAAGTGACTTACAGTTAATGTCATGGTAAGCTACTGTATCCCCTTATTATGTACACATGAAGCATTCACCTGATATGATGTTATAATTTGAAGTTAGGTTTTAGAGGTCTGATGTCAACTCATATTTATAAATTTAATCTGAAGTTCCTTCTTTAGCATGCATACATGTGTGTATGTTTACTAAATTTACCCATCTCTTTATACAGCAACTGTTCTCTATAGAACAGCAGACAGGGGATGTGAAAACAAAGAGTAAGCTAGACCGAGATCGTGCCTCTGTGGTGACCCTGACCGTCAATGTTGTCGACATAACCGCGAGTCCACGACAAACAGGAACAGGACAACTTATCATCAACATCCTGGAGTACAACGATCAACGACCGGAGTTCTTACCCTACAGAAATGTAACGATCGATGAAGAACAACCTATAGGAACGTTTGTGATGGCCTTACTGGCCACAGATCAGGACGATCCAATTGCAGAGTACCAGATTATTGATAATCCAAATGGATTCTTTGCCATTGGTTACCAGACTGGTAAAGTGATCATTTTCAAAAATTAATTTAATTATAGTTACTTTAATGATTTGTATTCTTAAGCTCGTAAGTGATTTTTTTTTTTTAGTATTGATTTTAAATAGGGTCAGAGAGGTACTCTATATTACCCATTACCTTCAAATGATAACTTGAAAAGAAAGAAAAATTAAATGTTTGTATTCTGTTTCTATTTCTTTAATTTTGAAGGTTTATAAACTGTGAGATGATATGTAATTTGTAGGTGTGGTAAGCATTAGTAGTCGTATAGATTTTGAGTTGGTGGAATCGTCCTCCTTCACGGCCCAGGTATGGGACAGTGGTACCCCCCGCCTGGACAATACGGCTACTGTATATGTCACCATCAACAACATCAACGATAATTCACCAATATTTGATAAGGTAACCTCAGAATATGCCATTCTTTTACATGAAAAGGACATGTAATTTGTACACTAAGTCTTGCGGTGTTGTAAGTTATATACCAGTGTACATCAAAGCTTCAAAGACACTTGCACTTTGAGATTTACCGGTATATAAAATTTGCAAAAACTGATTAAGATTTTTGTTTTTCTATATTGTTATTCTATATTTGGTGTCATACAAGCAATTTGATGCTTTTAAAAGAACTTCATTTTCTACCACTACTTTCTAATTGATTGTACAAGTTGTACAGAGTGTTGTTTTTCATTACAGGGAGCTTACCCAGTCAGAATACCAGAGAATTCACAAGGAGGTAGATTTGTGACAAATGTACGAGCTGTGGATAAGGATAAGGGGGATTATGGGGTAGTGCGATATTCCCTCGATCCACAGGAAACAAGGTTTACCATCGACAGTGTCTCAGTACGTTAATTTCAAATGACTGATACTTATTTAAGTTAAATGAGGCCCTTTTTAACCACAGAGTACAGATTTATATGTATTAACTTGTTCTTATTTACCTTGTACAGGGGGAGATAAAGGTAGCACCAGGGGCCAAACTTGACCGTGAAGAACTGGGCGACATTAGTATTCAGGTCACAGCCTCTGACAGTCCCCTGTATCCTGTTGTTCGTAGATTCTCCACTGTCACGGTAAACTAGAGTTCACTCCCTTTGATATCTTTGTTAAGATTAGTTTCAAAATGCTATGAATGATGACACCATTTATTGATTAGTAACTTATAATAGAAATATTTAGTACTTGTACTCATAGACTAAACATGTATTAATTTAATTGAGATAAAATTAGTATCCTGCATATTAATTAATAATTGTGCTAAATGCACCAAAATTTGAATCAGACTAAAATTACGGGAACATTTTACATGGTATTTTTACTCAAGCTCTAGAGGGGCTTGAGTTATCTAAAACGATGCTAGGTCATCGATTTACTCAGTTTAAAAACACAAAAATATATAATTTTTGTAGATAAAAATATTTCTAGAAACAAAAATGAAGCTTATCTTGAAAACGTCTGTATATTCAAAGATATTAAGTGTTAAATATCGGATTCTATTCTATGGCGAATGAACAATGAGTAAAGCTCCGCAGCCGCAACAGTTTCTATACAGAGATTTCGCGCTTTTCTTTGCGTATGAATCTCAGGTAAGTTTTTTTAGTCGTTGACAAAGCATCTTGGACGAGTCCACTGCATACTCTGAAAGGTGACGCAGGTTATACCCCATCGTTAACAATTCTACAATGCATGGACAGAAAATGTATGGATGTACCACCAACTGAAATTGCTTTTCATGGGCCTGCAAATGATGTACACTTTGAGTGAAAGTAAAATAATAGCACAAATCAAATGTTAAATTCTCGTATTATCCTAAGTTTTGGTAACGGAACCTATATAACTTTTTTGGATTCGTGCGGAATATGTATTGGACATGCCGCTCAGCTAGATGAACCCCATCGTCTTAAGCCACGGTCCGGAGTAGGAGAGGATCGACATTTTGGACGTGGTTTGCAACGATGGATGAACCCGTAATCACATGGATTTCTTGGAGCCTGGAAGGGGGGTGGGGGGCTTCCACTTTGAAAAGCTTTTCTACAAGCTTGTAGCAAGCTATTTAGATTGATGTATATATTGAATGTGATGAACGTCATTAAGCAAAAAATACAAAAATCGTATATAGTTTGAAGTATACTAAATGTGTATTAGACGTAAAAAAATATTTCATTAAATTAAGAACGGCAACGTTACTATGCTATTTAAAGTATTCCTGAAAATGTGTCACGTAAATTCATCTTAAGGTACTTGGACACAGATTTGAAAGTAATTTTATCTGTATAATATTACGACTTATATATTTTAATAGCATTTCACACAAAAATTAATAAAAAATCTTATTTCGTTTGAAAGTTATTAAACCTTCAAATTTTTTGGCGGGTTTCATTGACACTTCCTAGCACTTTCACAAATTTTAAGTTTACTCTTAATACTTAGGAAAAGTGGCAATCTTGTTGTGTATAAATGGAAATTATTAATACTATAATCCAGAAAAATCAGAGTAGACATATTCGAAAGCAAAACAAACACACAATATATTCTCAGTCCGTGCATTTGTGGTGAGCAGACTTTGTCGTTTGAACGCACCCGGTTAATCGTAAACAATCAACAATAACAGAGCTCTTGCCCTGTTTACAAAAACTGTGTACATAACACGAGTGTGATCGATTTGCACACAAGACTTAGTTCGGAAATACGGTACTTGTGAAGGAATTTTGCTTTGTAACATTTCTACTCTGAATAAAATTGTTTTTTCTGGATTAAAGTTTTAATATTTCTCATTAATGCACAAAAAGATTGCCACTTTTCCGAAGGGTTAAGAATAAAGTTAAAATTTGTGAAAGTGCAAGGATGTGTCAATCAAACCCGCCAAAAACTTTGAAGTTCTTTAACTTGTAAATGAAAAAAGATTTTTAATTAATTTTTGTGTGAAATACTTTTAAGATATATAATTCGTGATATTATACAGAAAATATTAACTTTAAATCTGTGTCCAAGTACCTTTAAAAAGTAGTACGATTAATTATATTTCTTCGAATTAAATTCAATATATGAATTTTGCTTCATGTACATACAAATGTATAGTTTATTCAACAGAAGATTGAACTCAATAGCCCTCATCTTATACCATTTTGACTTTCTACAGCTTGAGTATTTCTGACGTTTTGTCAGTATATACTTGTTTATTATGTGAATTAAAAGAAATGTTTAAGAACAAGAATGTCACCGGTGAGTGAGTCATCATTTTTTGACATTGTTTTACAGGTTTACATTACCCTGGAGGATGAGAATGACAACCCCCCTATTTTTAACCAGCCCGAGTACCTCCAGCAGATTATAGAGACCATTCCTATCTTTACCCACGTCCTCCAGGTGTTCGCTAATGATGCAGACGCCGGTAACAATGCCCGCTTACTGTTCTCTAAGGTTCCCAACTCAGGAGACCCTGATAGTAAGTAACTCAATCCCAGAAGTCCAAATTTAAAGCTTTCTTCCTCTTATATGTACATGTATTAGTTTTGTGTATGAATTAACTTGTGCAAAATGCAATGATTGCCTAAATAAATATGTTTACAGTATTTTCTCAGTATTGATTACTTTTGCCTATTTTCAGTCTATGAATTTCAAAAGATTGAAGTATTTAAAATGTTAAATTAATCTGTTGATGGTTCTTAAACAGTATACTGTTATTTGTTTCAATATTCCATAATTATGATAATATATACTTCCTAGAGAAACCAGTGAATAAATTGACAGGCAGCAGAAACATGTACATGTGCTTATTATTTTTTTCAGATTTCTTTGCAATTCAACCATCAAATGGAAGAATCAGTGTAAACAAAAGCTTGCTGAGGAACTCAGGGACATATGTGTTCTATGTCATGGCACGTGATGAAAATGGTAGTGGACCATTTAACAGCACTGCCAAAGTGACCATCATTGTCCTGGAAGCCACCAACTCCCCACCAGAATGGACAATTCCACCACTGGATAACATGACAATCAATGTTTTAGAGGTAAGTTAAAAAGAACAAGAGTATCTCAATGGCTTATGGGGAAAATGTAGTTTTGGTCAATTGCTGTGTCCCAGTATAAACAAAATTTTAAAAGGCAATACAACTAGGTGTAATATACACTTTTTAATTGCAATACATATAATACTTGCCATATAAACTCCTCCCCCCCCCATTGGTTTGACATGGAACTGAGATTCTAGAAGTTTCTTGATCAAGTCATTTTTTGATCTACAGGAGCAGTATCTTGGAATGTTGGTTTATGATGTGGAAGCAAAAGATGCTGATCGTAATGACAATGGTATTATTGACTATGGTTTCTACGTAAATGGCGTGTATACTACCACCACTAATGAATTCCGCATCAACTCTATCACTGGTGTCATCAGGGCAGAAAAAGTCTATGACAGGGAAACCAGAGATCGCTACCTGGTAAGGCAAACAAAACATTTTTATGAGTTTGTATAAGATATTTGCATTTGAACTTGTTTTGTAGCAGTATTCAACTTAATCAACTTTACGTATTTGATGTGAATTGTTTACAGCTCCTCCTGGTGGCACGGGACCGCGGTGACCCATATCTGGAGACCACTCGATACTTGTCAGTCAGAATTCTGGACGTCAATGATAATGTTCCCAAGTTCCCAACCAATTCTGTAAGTCTTCTGTTTGCTCAAAACTATTATCTGTTTTACTCTGACAGCTAAAACAAGAAAATGAAACATGTACATTAAAAAAAGATTCATTTTAAAAGGGATGATTTTAAAAAATCTTGAATATATGATAGAAATGGGATTCATTTATGTATTATTTAATCAAATTATTTTTTATGTTCTTTAGTGTCTATTATCTGCATATATCAGAAGAAAAAAATGTTATTTTAAAAATATTACACACAAATAAATGCAATCGATGTATTAACTGGTTAAAACTTAAAGTCTCAAAGCCAATACTGTAAGTCGTTTTAATTCCACGGTGTTAAAATTACACGATATCTGAAAAAGTACCAATTTCGATGGTTTTAATTTCACGCTGCAAGAAATAAATTTCAAAATTTCGTATAAACATTAAAACGCTTTTAAAAACTAATCATAACATTCACGATGGATTAATTTTGCGGAAAAATGATAAATCGTGAACATAGCAAAATAAAAACCATCGTAATTATTTGACAATCTACAGTATACAGATATCATAATGTAGTGCTTTGATTTTAATTTTAGAATGGCGAGACCAAAGTAATACAGTTTGAAGATGTAGATGAGAATAAACCAATTAATTCCATCCTTGGAAGACTAAAGGGAAGTAGTTTTGAAGCCAAGGACATCGATGATGCTCAGTATGCTAAAGTCTATTATTATATCATCAGTAAGTATTTCTCCAGTTTGTAACTATTTTATTCAAAATATAAAGTTTAAAGTTGAAGTCTGGAATATGAACTTCACCATGATTTTTGTTTTGTGAAGGGTTTAGCTATAATTTGTTCAGCCAAGAAAACTGATTTGTCTAATCTAAAATGCTTAACATGTAATAGAATCTTCAATCTACTGAAAAAAAATCTAGGAATCCATTACCTTGTAAAGATTTGTCAACATTTAAGCAAATGTAAAGCTGTCCTTTGTTAGTTTAAGAATCTCTGAATATTTTTCTGTTCATCAGGTGGAAATGAGAAGGGTAATTTCCGTATGGTCCCAGAAACTGGAGAATTAATCTTAGTCAAAGCATTGGATAGGGAGGTACAAAGTGTGTACAACCTGGATATCCAGGCCACAAACAACATTAGTGATTATACGGTTATCCGGAATAGACGCAAACGAGCCCTAGATCCAAGTATAGCCACGTGGAGGATCCAGATCAAAAATGCCAATGATGTACGGCCCGACTTTACCCAAAATCTGTATCACGGCTGTAAGTAGTTAGATTTTTCTTTTATTGATCATAAATTATGTATATAAAGATTTGTTTGAGCAAGCCCTCTTTTTTTATTCTGTACACATTAAAGATACATTTTAAATAGGTTTGTTTATTGCTTTGGTACTGATTGCATATAAATGTTTGACACAATGTTTCACATTACAGGGGTATACATGTATTATTTATCCTGCAAAGAGCATAGCAATTCCTTAGTTTTTAACATGCATGGTTGTAGAAGCAGTAAGGAAGAAGCATTATGTCCCAAATGTAACACAGTGATTAGAATATGAAATTTTAGCAGGCTCTAATGATCCCAGAGATTGCCTTAAATTGAGTTGTAGGACATATTAACATTGTACATGTATTAGACTGTAGTCTACTGTCCACATTCTTGTATGTCCAATGTATCTGTATAATTGAGTATCTTTTTCCATTTTCTGAATCAGGTATCTCAGTCCGCTCCTCTCTGGGTCAGAGCATAATGAAGGTAGAGGCTAAGGATGCTGACTCGGTCGGCTCCGTCACTTATTCCATACAGTCCGGAAACACAGACAACGCCATCGGAATCGACTCTGTCACAGGCGTTCTCTATAACGCCATTCTGATGAATAACTACGGAGGCAGAACTTTTGACTTGAAGCTTAGGGCTACTGACCAAGGAACATTGTACCACAATACTACTGCCCTGGTACGTTGTATTAAAAGTCATATTTTACCCATTGGTTACTATAGTAGCAAGAATTTTAAAACATCATGAAATATATTAGAGCCTCTCTTGTGAAATCCTAAGCCTCAATGGCTTATCTGAGTAAACAACTCAAATGCTTTTCTAATCAAATTTAGTCCATTGTCTGCTGTTGTTGCCATAAAGATTTTACAATTTCATCTTCCTCTTCAGAATCACTAGGCCAATTCAACCAAGCTTGGCAAAGGTGAGGTACAGGCAATTCAAATTGTTCAAATAAAGGGCCACATATCTTCCAAGGGGAGATAATCAAGAAGCAGTAAAAATTGGATTGTTTCAAGTGCAGAAATATGGCTGAAATATTGCTGACTCAGCATAAAACACAATCATCAAGCAAATTCAAGTGTGACCAAATCAAGGGGGAGGGTGTTATTTGCAATTACTTATAAATTTTATCTTTTAATACTGAATTTATCTCGAAATTTTCCTAGCCATTGTGCTCAGGTGAGCAATATGGTCCATTGGACAATTTTTTTTCTTTTTTTATGAAATCAGATAGACATGCAAATCAGTGATGTCTCCATAGAGAGTACTTTCAAAAGTTTAATATTGTACAGTATTTTAGGCCATCCTCTTCTTACCTTGTACACTAGGCTTATTATGGTATGTGGAGGAAATCATACCATATGCATTACAAAAATGCCAGTAGTAAAACACAGTCATGTACATGTATTGAATCATTATGGCAAGTAGGAGTATAGGACGCTGAGCAAATAAGTACAAGATTCAAGACAATGTGATTTTTGTTTGATAGGTTTTTGTAACAGAACCAAGTAGAGAAGTGAAATTAGTAGTGAAACAGCCAGCTACAGAAGTCAGGCAGTTCTTTGAACAAATCAAAAAGTAAGTCTTCTAGCATTTCTGTGTGCTTGGATGTTACTTATAATTGCTTACTCAAGGCCTTGCTGCAGTACAGGGGGCCGGGGAATTTCCCCTCTTATAATGGTATATTGTAATCCCCCTGGTTATTTTGGTATTTCTCTTACACTAGAGAAAGCCCAGATCTCCTACTTTTTAAATGTCCCCCTCTTTTTTATACCTTGAGGTCATTTAAGCCTGCAGTATCTAATATATTGATCATTTTCAGGAACTTTATAATGATTAATAGTTAATAAAAATTGAGAATCTGTCTTAGATATATGAAATCAATGTGAATATAGACATGATACATTATAAATATATTTCTTTATTAGGTCTCTACAAAAGCCAAATGCAGATGGCAAAATTGTATTTGATTATATATGTTCAACCAAGATTGTCGACCATGTTCTAGATGATGGAGAGACCACGTCCTTGTGGTATGTGAAAGTAAATTAATTTATATCAGACATGTAATTGCATA